CCATCCCTAGATAACTGCTAATGTTGAGCTGCTTATTTTTGCTGAATATGACTACATTTTGTTTTGTTGAGCTTTATTCTGAAGTTCACTTTTGAGGTCATTTTTTTTTTTTTTTAAGGCTGGGTTCTGGGTCTGGGTTATTGGATAAGATATTTAAATCTTCCAGTTGTTTCTCAGTGAACATAGTTCCTTTCCTTTGTGAGTGCTTCTGGTGCTTGCCTTTAGGAAGGATCTCGGAGCCTGACATCTTTTAATCCAGATGTACATGTTCCTTTGTTAAGATCCAGGGTTAAGAAGCTGTATGATTGTTTGTTTGTTTGGTATTGGGGATTTAACTCAGGGGCATGCCCACTGAGCTATATTCCTAGTCCCTCTTCTGTTTTGTTTTGAGACAGGGTTTCACTAAGTTGCTTAGGGCCTCCCTAAATTGCAATTCTCTTGCCTTAGTCCCCTGAGTCCTTGGGATTACAGGTTATGTATCACCTCACCCAGCTGGATGATAGTTTTTAATCAAGTCTGCTTCTCTCTCTCTCTCTCTCTCTTTTTTGGTATCAGGGATTGAACTCAGCACTCAACCACGGAACCTCCTACCCAGCCCTATTTCGTATTTTATCTAGAGACTGGGTCTCACTGAGTTGCTTAGTGCTTCACTTTTGCTGAAGCTGGCTTTGAACTCATGATCCTCCTGCCTGAGCCTCCCAAGCTTCTAGGATTATAGGCGTGCACTTTTTTTAAAATTAGAATGTTTAATTAATTTACATTTAATATTACCATAAGATAAATTTAATTCTATAATTTTACTATTTATTTCTATATGTCTTTTTTTCTTTCTCCATTCCTCCATAACTGACTTATTTTTCTTATACATTTTAATTTCCTTGTGTCTTTTTTTAGTATTTTAAGTGGTTGTCCTGATATTTACAGTTAACATATTCATTTTTAATAATATAGTACTGATTAATACCAACTTAATTTCAGTTGTACACTTTTGAAATGCTGTTGTTTTGTTCTGTTCTCCCTCACCTTCTTCATAATATTATTCACATATAAACTGCATCTTTGTACATATAAGCCCATCAACATAGTATAATAATTGGTGCTTTATTTAATTGTCCTTTATTTTAGAGAAATAAGAGGAAAATATATTTATATACTTTTTATATTCACCCTTTCTGGTGCTCCTTATTTTTTCATGTGGTTATGAGGTGCTATCTAGTATCCTTTCGTTTGAAACTGAGGGACTGTTTAATATTTCTTTTCAGGGAAGTTCTTCTAGTGATGAATTATTTCAGTTGTTGTTTATTGGAGACTCTCTTAATTGTCCTTCCTTTTTGAATACTTTTTTTGGATATTATTGAAAGTTTTCTTCCTTTAAATAAGTCATCACACTTTATTCTGGTGTCATGTTCATTCTTATTAAGGATTTCTGGAACCTGATGAATCAGTTTTCTCTTTTTGCTTTCAAAATTCTCTGTTGAGAATTCTTTTGACTATGTTCTACTGAAAATTTGATTATGTGTGTAACATGGAATTCTTTGATCTTATTGAATGTGTTGATTGTTTTTCTTTAAACCTTAGGAGTGCTCATCCATTATTTCTTGAAATATTCTTCTTGGCCCTTTCTCCTCTCCATTTGGGGTTCCCACTCTTGTGCTGTGCTTGATGGTGTCCCTTCAGGTCTCTCAGACTGTTCATTTTTGTTTTCATTCTATATTTTTGTTCCTCAGTTTGGGTAATCAAAAAAGTCAGCTTTTTTTTTTTTTTGTCACTGTGACCGAAAGACCTGACAAAAGCAATGTAAAGGGAAAGTTTATTTTGGTTCATGGTTTCAGAGGTTCAGTGAATGGTCCCCAACTCCACAGCTCTGGGCCCAAAGTGAGGCAGAACCTCTGAGTGGAAGGCATGACAGAGAAAGCAACCCAGGACATGAAAGCCGGGAAGTAGAGAGAAAGTTCCATTCAACAAAGGATGAAATATAACACTGCCAATCTACTTCCTCTAGCCATGTCCTACCTGCCTATAGTTATCACCCAGTCAATCCTCAGCAGAGGATTAGTTCACTGATTAGGTCACACCTGTCATAATCTTGTCATTACATTTCTGAAAATTCTTGCATTATCTTACACATGAGCTTTTGGGGGACACACCTCATATCTAAACCATAACAATAATTGACACACTTTCAGTTAAATTTTTTCTTCTGATAGCTCATGTCTGTTCTTAATTTCTTTAGTGAATTTTTCATGAAAGTTTGGTAATTTTCAACAGTTTGGTTCTTCTAAAATATTTAATTAGTATCTATTGTTATTCTCTATCTGATGAGATAGCATCATCAGATAGATAACTTTCCTTTTGCTTTTTAGTCAAGATTTCCTTTAATCCTTTCTACATATTTGTGATAGATTTTAAGTTGTTGTTTAATATGCCCAAATTCTGGGCCTCCTCAGGGATGTTAATATTGGCTACTTTTTCTGTTTGTGGGTCAAGCTTTGTATTTCTTTGCATATGGTAATTTTTTTTTTAAACTGGACATTTTAAATAATGTAGTGTAGAATTCTGTAAATCAGGCTGTCTCATCCCTCAGGTTTATTGACTATTGTTTTTGCTGCTCATTTATTTATTTATTTTCCTGAATGAATTGTGTAAATGTATTCTTAGTCATGTGTGACCACTGAAGTCTTTGCTTAGTTAGCTTATGGTCTGTTAATGATGTGACTTATATTTCCTTAAATGCTTTGAACCAATGAATCTCTTAGCTTTTGCTAAGGATCTCTGTGTGCATATTGGGGTATGCTTTCTATGCCTTAGCAAGCAGTTTGCAAGTTGGCATTAGTTTTCATTTCTAACTTTATCAGAACTTCAAGGTCAGCCAAAGATGAGAGATTACAGCTTTTTCAGCTCATTTCTGAGTGTAAGTACAGCCATGAACATGTTTATGATCTTTTAAATCTTTAAGAATATGGTTTAAGGCAACTGCCTTGCTTATAATTTTCTATTTGTCCCATCTGATTTTCATTAACCTCCCTTTTCCTGCTTTCTTTTTGGATAATTGTTAAATATTGTTTTTAAAAATTTGTAGCATTGTACTTGAGAAAAGCATTCATGCCTTCTTGCATATGTTACAAATTGGAAAGAGACTTGGCAGTTCCAGTAAGCACAATTACAGCAGTGTTGTGCAATAGAAATACAACATGGACCTCAAATTCAAGCCAAGGATATATATTTTTTTTAAATTTTTAGTGGCTACATGAAAAAATTGAAAGTAGCAGATAAAATTAATTTTAAGAGTATATTTTATTTATATCGATACATTAAAATATTAGTCTTTCAACATGTAATTAATATAAAATTTATTGATATTTTACATATGTTTTATATTAAGTCTTCAAAACCCAGTATATATTTTATGTCTATCATCTATCTCAAATGTGGCTATCCACATCTAAAGGTCTAAGTGGATAGCCACTTCTTTGTTAAATAGCAGAGATTTGGAGGGACTTTATTTTGATTGTAATGAGGTAGAGTAGGAATAGAATATTTGTTGAGAACCTTTATTTTAGTGATCAATTGTGAGTAAACTAGGGCAAAAATGGAAAACAGAGTAAGGGAGAAATGGAGGCAAAATAGCTGGCCAAAAAATAATCTTGACTGCTGTATACAAAGGGACACCAAGTCTTAATCATTCAGTACAATAGAGTGTGTTGGTATGACAGGTGATATGGGTTTTAAGCTAACAATAACAGTAGTTAGTATTGATGAATGTTGTCAGGCCCTGTTCCAAGAGCTTTGAGTGTATTAATCTTATGACTCATTTACTTTCAGTGAGTAGGTCACTTAAACTTTCTTGGATTTCATGTATAAAATGTCTGAAGTGGAGTAGATAATCTCTGAACTTCTTAATACTGATGGTCCATTTCTTTTGCTACAAATGATAAAGAAAATAAAATTTTTGTCCTCATGGAATTTATAATAAGTAAAAGAAGTGAGGCATCTCCCTTCATTAAAAATAACATAGATAATAATCTTACCTTAAGAGAATTTCAAATGCTAATTAGAATTTAAAACATTTTTTTTGTGTAAAATAAATTGTGTAGGAGACGGCAGTTGATGTGTGCCTAGTAGGAGTAAATGAGGAGGAGATGGAATGGAGTAGTAAGGAATTTCCACTCCTTAGGTTATATTAATATTTGTTATGTAAGTAATAAAGAATGTGGGGGCAAGAAAGTAATGTGTGTGTTCAGAGAACAATAAAAATAAACTTTGAATGCACTGTTAGGGGTTGGAAGATTGGATAGTATTGCTCTGTTGGACTCAAATCTTCAGGAACCTTGATATCCTATTAAGAAAGAGTATGGTTGATCAACTAGCAATGGAATATAGCAGAGACTGGATAGACTGTGCTATGTATTATTTAGAAACTTAACATTTTCTGCCTAATACTTTCTGTAAATTATAACTAGGATAATTAAATGCAATTTAATATTTAAAAATTCTTCATTGGGATAAAACATTCTCTAGCTTTAAAAGTATAATGTTGCTTTTGATGGGGGTATCTGTGGACAGCTATTTAGTTTGATGGAGATCAGTTTGTGCTTTTTTGTCAGCATTTTTTTATGCCTTAGTATAATGTTTCTTTTTTGCTGAATGTTAATTCTTTGTGATTAAATGATACTCAATAACTTTATGTCAGCATTCAACATAAAATGGGAGCCTAAGGCTTAGTGTTTAAAACTATTAGTGTCTGTCTTAAGAGCCAGTACACAGTGCTTCAAATGTGGCAAAAATAACCAAATGGAAAATCATAGATTTTTCAGTGATGGAAGATAGAAAAGCATTTCATTTCATTTGGTCTGTAAACATTAGGTTTTTTTTTTTTTCTCTTTTTACTTGTGAATAGTTTTATTAGGTTACCAGACTACTATTTTTATGTAATACCTGATAATGCATTTTAGTAGAATATCTCACAGAATTTATATATCCATTTATCTGATTTCTTTCAGGTAACTTGTCCAGGAGTGGTGCTGAAAGACAAGGAGGACATCTATCTTAGCATCTGTGTGTTTGGCCAATACAAAAAGACACAATGTGTCCCAGCCACTTTTCCATTGGTCTTCAATGCCAGAATGGTGTTTGAAAAGGTTAGTTCAAATATCAGAACAAGTATTAAAAAAAGAGTTCCAATTTTTTAATAAAAGGCCACAATAAATTATTATTGCTTACTATGTGCTTTGGTTTAATTCAAAATGAAGGCTATAAATTAAATATTGCTTTTGATTCATTATTACCAATTGCATTTCTTTCTTTCTTTTTTATTAATTTTTTATTTACATATGACCACAGAATGCATTACAATTCTTATTACACATATAGAACACATATTTTCATATCTCTGGTTGTATACAAAGTATATTCACACCAATTTGTGTCTTAATACATGTACTTTGGATAGTAATGTCCATCACATTCCACCATAATTTCTAACCCCCATGCCTCCTCCCTTTCCCTCCCACCCTCTACCCTATCTAGAGTTTGTCTATTCCTCCCATGCTCCCCCTCCCTACCCCACTATGAATCAGTCAGCCTTTTTATTATCAGAGAAAACATTTGGTATTTTATTTTTTACAATTGGCTAACTTCACTTAGCATTATCTTCTCTAACTCCATCCATTTACCTGCAAATGCCATGATTTTATTCTCTTTTATTGCTGAGTAATATTCCATTGTGTATATATGCCACATTTTCTTTATCCATTCATCTACTGAAGGGCATCTGGATTGGTTCTTTTTTTTTTTTTTAATTTTTGTAGTACAAAGGATTGAACCCAGAAGTACTCTATTATTGAGTTACATTCCTAGCCCTTTTTATATATATATTTTTTGAGACAGGATCTTGCCAGGTTAACCACGTAGGCCTTGACCTTGGAATCCTGCTCCCTCAACCTTTTGAATATCTGGGATTATAGGCATGTCCTACCAGTTGTCAGTTGTCTGTCCTCCTTCCATCTTCCTTACTTCCCTCCCTTCTTCTGTTTCACAAATAATTTTACCTTGTACCTGCTATTTTCCATAGAATGGATTAGCCACTGGAAACACTTGGTAAACAAGGAAAAATCCTCCCCTTTTGGAACTTAATAAGTGCAAAAAGAGAATAAATACAGGGCAAGGGGACGAGAGGGGATTATATATTTTAAAGGGTGGTCAAAGAAAACAGTAACATTTAAATTGAGCTTGAATTATGACACCAAGTCAGTTATTTGAAGGTCTAGGGGGAAAGCATGCTAAGTAATGGAATAGTAAATTTAAAGCCTTCCTATTGAGAATTAGCTTGCTGAGGTGGAGGAGCACCAAGGAGGTAGATTTGATCATGGTAACATAAGGGGAAGAGCTAACAGATGATGTAGGAGAGAGTCAGAGCCATCTATAAAATTTATTTATAAAGTCTTTCATAATAGACATGGAAAACAGAGAAGAATGGATAGTTATGAATGTCGCATGTTTCTTGGAAAATGAATGTTTTGAGAATGGGAGGGAAAAATCAAAGATATTCTCATATGTAACTTCCTGTCACTTCCTCTCCCCCATCCTGCTTCCCCCTTCATCCCTCCCACTCTAGGTGTTCCCTGAAGCAGTAGACCCTGGAGATGTGGTTGCGCAGCTTGAGTGTAAGTTTTTAACTTTTAAATTCCTGAGTCTTAGACATTTTAGAAAGTATCATCCTTATGTTTTTTTAATCCTGGGTTACGTAAAAATTTGAAAGAGTATAATAGAATTTCAAAAATCTTGAGCTGAGATTTTTTTTTCCACACTTTTTAGAATTTCATGATAATAAAAAAGATAATAAAAAAGAAGTTGTTTGGTGTAGTAAATCTAAGAAATATTCCTCTTCCTGTTTTTGTCAATGAAAAACAAAGAAGGAATTATTTAAGTTTTCTATTGGACAAGATGGTATGGAGTGTTTGTGATATAAGGATAAAGACTCATATTAGGTGGGTTTTGGCCCTGCAAATAAAACTGTCTTTAACCTTAGTGAATACAAATTAAGGGAGTAATAACAGGATAAAAGTAAGTAAAAAATACATATGCCTTTTAATTTTGTATTACATTCACTATTTAAATTATTTGCAGGAGATATTTTTTCAAGGCTGAGGATAACAGTAAATCTATCATAGTACTATGAATCAACTACAAAACTATATAACTATTTGTGAGAGTAGCACTGTAAAAGTGTACACTTGTAGAAAAGTTTACTGAAGCTCTGGATATGAAAGGGAATACTATTATTTATCCTTATATTTAGAAAGGACCCTGGAATCACCAAATTAGTTGAACATATAACTGTGGCTCAAAAGGGCAATAATATTGGGGATCCCTATCATCATCTGTCCTTGTCACACTTTCTTCCCTTCGTGCCCCACTGAACTCTAGCAGTGTAGAAACATGGAATCTGGCACCATACTAGAATCTGAGTACCTATGGAGAAAACAGGCCAATCTGTCTTCATGCAATGTATTGTTCAGCGAATCTTCTCCAGAGAACTATTTTTGGCATATGCCAGTGTCTTATTTGTTATTTTATAGCTGTTTGTAGCACTTGGTTTTTGTATTTTCCACTGCTAAGTAACAGTTTGGGGCCAGTGAGTAAAATTTTAATTTTTCCATACTCATTAGCTGGGACATTATATGTCTTGAGAACATGGGAGGTCTTTCCATCTTCTAAGGTATTTTTCAATTTCTTTCTTCAGTGTTCCATAATTTTCATTTTGATATCTTCTACCTCCTTGGTTTGATTAATTCCCAAGGGTTTTTTTGAGGTTATTGTGAATATAATAATTTTTCAATTTTTTTCCTCAGCAGAATACTGTTGGAATACAGGATAGCTATTGATTTGTGAATGCTGATCTTGTATCCTTCTGCTTTGCTGAATTATTTATTAGGTGTAGAAGTCTTATGATAGAGCTTTTTGGATCTTCTAGATATAGGATCATATCACTTCTCTTTTTCTATTTATATCCCTTTAATTTCCTTCTCTTGCCTAAGTGCTCTGTCTAGAGCTTCAATAACTATATTGAATAGGACTGGTGAGAGTGGACATCCTTGTCTTTTTCCTTATTTTAGAAGAAATGCTTTTAGTTTTTCTTCATTCAGTATGACATTGGCTTTGTGTTTGTTATATATAGCCTTTATGATGTTGAGGTGAATTCCTTCTCTTCCTAGTTTCTCCAGTGTTTTTAACATGATTGGATGCTGGATTTATCAAAGGCCATTTCTACAACTATTGAGATGATCATGTGATTCTTGTATTCTGTTGATGTCCTATATTACATTTATTGATTTGTGTATGTTTCATTCTTGAGACAAAACCTATTTGACCATGGTATATTCTATTCTTGATGTGGTTGATAATATTTTATTAAGGATTTTTTCATTTATGTTCATCAAGCATATTGGTCTGTAGTTTTCCTTGATGTGTCTTCATTTGGTTTTCCTATCAGGGTACTGACTTCATAGAATGTATTTAGGTGTGTTCACTCACTTTTAATTTCATGGAATAATTTGAGAAACTGGTGTTAGTTCTTACAGGTCTGGTAAAACTCAGCTGAGAATCCATCTGGTTGATGGACTTTTCTTTGTTGGAAGGCTTTTAATTTATGTTTCAACTTCATTACTTAATAGTGATTTGTTTTTCTGTATCTTCCTGGTTCAATTTGGGCAGGTCATATGAGTCTAGAGATTAATCAATGTCTTCTATATTTTCCAGTTTATTGGAGTATAAATTTTCAAAGTAATTTCTAGTGGTCTTCTTGAAAATGCTGTATGGTGATATCTCCATTTTCATTTCTAATTTTGTTAGTTTGAGTCCTCTCTTTATTTTGGTTAGTTTTGCCTAAGGGTTTATTAATCTTTTTGAAGAAACAGTTATTTGTTTTATTGATATTTTGTATTTTTTATTCTCAATTTCATTAACTTTGGCTCTGATATTTCCTTTCTTTTACTGATTTGGGGATTAGTTTTTTCTTTCTTTTGTAATGCCTTGAGGTCTAGCATTAGATTTATTTGGAATCTATTCTTTTTATGTAAGTACTCAATGCTATCAATTTTCTAGATCTGACTTCGTACTCTCCCAGAGATTTTGATGTTATATCTGTCCTCATTTGTTTCTAAGAATTTCTTGATTTTTCCTATCATTTCTTCTATAATCCATTCCTCATTCTAGAATGAGTTTGGAAGGGTTCCCTTCTTTTGTGTTTAATGGAATAATTTGAGGAAGGATTGGTTTTATTTCTTCTTTAAAGGTCTTGTAGAACTTGATTGAGAATCCATCTGGTCCTGGGCTTTTCTTTGTTGGCTTTTATTGGTGTCTTCTATTTCACTGTGTGAAATTGATCTGTTTAAATTGTCTGTGTCCTCCTGTTTCAGTTTGGATAGGCCATATGTAGAAATTTTTCAGTGTCCTCAGATTTTCTATTTTATTAGAGTGAATTTTCAAAATAGTTACTGATTTTTATCTGTATTTCAGTAGGTCTGTTGTAATATTTCTTTCTTCATCCTGAATTTTAGTAATTTGAGTTTTCTCTCTTTCTCTTTGTTGGTGTGGCTTAGAGTTTATCAATTTTATTTATTTTTTCCAAAAATCAACTTTTTGTCAATTCTTTGACTTGTTTCTTTTGTTTCAATTACATTGATTTCAGCTCTGATTTTAATTATTTCCTCTCTTATACTACTTTTGGTGTTGATTAATTCTTTTTCTAGGCCCTGGAGATGTAATGTTAGGTTATTTATTTGGTGATTTTCTATTGTTTTAATGCATGATTTCAATGCTTGAACTTTCCTCTTAGAACTGCCTTCGTAGTGTTCCAGAGATTTTGATACATCATGTTGCTATTCTCATTTACCTCTAAGTATGTTTTAATTTCATTGTTGATTTCTTTTGCTATCTATTGTTCATTCAGTAGTGTATTATTTAGTCTCCAGGTATTAGAGTAGCTTCTATTTTTTATTTTATTGTTGGTTTCTAATTTCATTTCATTATGATCTGACAGATCTGACAGTAATGCAAGGCATTACTTCTATTTTTTTTTTTTTTTGTATTTGCTAAGAGTTGCTTTGTAGCCTAAGATATGGTCTATTTAGGGAAGGATCTGTGTGTTATTGAGGAGAAAGTGTGCTCAGTCATTGATGGATGAAATACTTTTTATATGTCTGTTAAATCTAAATTATTTATTGGATGATTTAGTTCTCTAGTTTCTTGATTTAGTTTTTGTTTGGAGGATATATCTAGTGGTGAGAGTGGGGTGTTAAAGTCATCCAATATTATTGTGTTACAATCTGTTTGATTCTTGAAATTGAGAAGGATTTGTTTGTACATAGATGCTGTATTGCTTGGGTCATAAATATTTATGATTGTTATGTCTTGTTGATTTATAATTTCTTCAAGCTGTATGAAATGTCCTTCTTTGTCCCTTCTGACTAACTTTGCTTGAAGTCCACTTTATTTGATATAAAGATAGACACCCCTGCTTGTTTATGAGATCCATGTTATCTGAGGACAACAGCCAGTGTCTCTTTGGGGGGTTCTTCCTGCCCAGGGTAATCCCAGCTACCCTAAAACTTACAATCTCAAATAATTAGCAAATAACCAAGATAAATACTCAGAAATATATTTAAAAAAGTGAAGCCCCTGATAGATCTAGTCCACATGGATGCTGGAACTAGACAAAGGAAAAATGGCTTGGTGGTTTATTTAGGGAGTACATCAAAGGCAGGGATAAGGTTTCCAGGGTGTAGTCTTGCTTCCTGATATATTGCAGTCTGCGGGTTGATTGACATCTTGGCAGGTCACACCTATTTCAGGTGCTGTGTGTGATCTTTGGCAGAGCTTGAGGGAGAAGTTCACCTGCATCAGGTGGTCAGTCCCTGTGGGAGGTGCCATGGGGAGTTCCCAATGCCAGACTTAATCCCTTCAGGAGGCTACTATGAGCAACAGTCCACACATAGCCAAAGGACAGATCGTGACACATGTGAATAATATGATTTTCACTGCCCTTTCACCTTTAGTCTGTGGATGTCTTTGCCTATGATGTGAGTTTCTTGGAGACAGCATATTGTTGGGTCTTGTTTTTATTCGAATCTGCCAGTCTACGTTTTTTGATTAATAAGTTTAGGCCACTTATATTCAAAGTTATTATTGAGATATAATTTATTTTCCTAGTTATCTGATTTATTTATGATGCTTCATTTGAATTCGTTTCTCCTTTGATTGATTATTCTTTTAGTGCAGTTATTCCCTTTTCTGGTTTTTATTTTTATTTTTTATTCTTATTCATGAAATATTTTGCTGAGAATGTTCTATAGTGAAAGCTTTCTACTTGTGATTTTGTTGTTGTTTTTGTTTATCATGGAAGGTTTTTGAAAGGAAAATGAGGAAACAGGAGACGGGTGAGTGAGAAATGAAAGTCGGAGACCAGGCAGAGATACACATAAGAGTTGATTTGTCAGAGCTGACAAATAAAGGCACATCTTTCCATATACGGAAAGAGTCAAAAAAAGGCTTGGGGTTTGAGACTTTTATGGGGCAGGCTCAGGGATTAGAGCTGGGTGGATCCTAAGGCTGTGGTTAAGGGCGGGGTTGATATGAGTGAGTGGTGAGCCTTTCTCAGAAACAC